AGGACATAGGGGGTCAGAAAAGAAACGAAAACCCAAGGCAAAACACCTGCATCTCAAACACTGTAAGAGAAAGTTAGGACATGTTCCTCTGCTGATAAGCTCTGTGATTTTTTTCCCCTAAACTTCGGAAAGGCAGCTGGGAATTTTCACATCTTGTCTACATCACTGTTTTACTACTTCAGAGTGTTTGAAACAAAACACCACCTTAGGCTTAATGTCTAAAAAATGTCTCGTATCAACACATACATACGTTTATTTACTATGTCATTTCCCATCAAGACAGTGTAGATATATTCGAGGTTATTTAGTGCACAAATTAATGAATTTGACACACTGTGAAAATCTGGAAGAAAATCATTTCCAGACCACAAGTCCTCATAAATTCAGAGAGTGAAGTCTTGGCTTATGCCAAAAACTGTAACCTGAGTCCTACCTTTCTGCTCTGGCGGATTCAAACCAATATGATTTATGAAAGGGATTCATATTTAAAAAGCCATTCAATAAACATTCAGTGACACAACTGTTTACAGTATTTCAATACTGTATTAAATCCAGGATTTATTTATTTTTTTTAATTGATGAAAGATGCTTCATGCCAGTGAAAGCTATACTGTAGAACAACTGTCTAGATCAAATTACATAAAACTTCATAGAAAGATAATGTGAATTAATTATTTCCAATACTTTCATTTAGACACTGTGACGTCTGCTAAAATCTAGTTATGCAGGTACAGTTCGATTTATATGTGAAGTTTATATGCCAAGATCAGTGACTGATAGTATGCAAATAAATCACTGCATCACCACAAAGAGAACATTGTGAACCAGTCCATTGTGAACTTATAAATCATTGTGTCATTATAAATCACAGTACAATAGAAGATACCTTGTATATTCAGATAAAGCGACTGCATTCTTCCCCTTTGGTTGTTAATTTCTTTGAACTATCTTGCTTCTTGTGGAGCTAGTGCAGATAGTAGACAAGATATGCCATTGAGGCAAGCGTCTGTTATTGTTCAGCCCTTAGTGGGCAGTTTCCACTGCATTCATGATAAGCATGAAGTCATAAACTGTTGCAAAAGCAAAAACCAGGCTGCACAACATTAGTTCAAAGGGGTTAGATCAAATTTTTCATCTAGGAAAAACAACCTTGCATTACAAGAGTGCCGTTACGTTAGTAAATTCATTAATTGTGTTAAACTAGTTCATATCTCCACACCTGTTGCTTAACACAATGAATGTAAAATGTACATTATGTACCTACTAAATGTAGAGACTTTTCAAGAAAACACCATGACACATTTGTATTAGATGCACTTTCTTAACTAAGGTGAATATATGGGGGGGTTGCCACAGTTTATGCACATTAAAACATGGCACATCAAGACACTATGAAATTATTAAGTAGCGATTTGTTTATTCATTCAGTAACTAAGCCAGTATGCAATCTCTTTCTTGCTAACATGTCAATGTCATGCTTACAAATACAGCTTTCTTTTACATGTCACAAACTCACCTTTTTATCTGACTCACCTGTCACTGACATCAGCTCGTCTAGATTGTTCTTCCAGAAAGTTCATTGTCCGTCACAGTATGGCCTATTGCAATTAATGTTTTGTAGCATTGTAAACCTATATTTGTAGCATTTTTACAAGAGATAAAAACATTATTTACTTACAATTTCAGTTTCGCTTAACAAGAAAGCACTCGGAACATGTACAATTTGCACGGCCTATACATTTTCTACTGTATTTAATGTTTATATATATATATATATATAATTCTGTATAATGCCCTCTTCTTTCTTCCTTTATTATTTATTATGTTTCTATTTTGAGCTGTGGTATTGTTTATGTTTTCTTTTTCTCTCTCTATTGCTGTTAATTGTAATTATTGTGTTCTAATTTTGTTGTACCATAGTGTAAACTGAATGTTCAAATAAAACATTAAAAAAAAAAAGACAGTCAAAGTTAAAGCTAGGTTTTATTCTGTTCATTTAAAGAAACAGCATGATTGAGCATACATAACACTGATACTAGACACTAAAAATGTCAATCATTAATTTGGTGAAATCTGCCATAGAAATACTCGATTTTTATTTATTTAAAAAAAAAAATTATATATATATATTTTATGAGTCCTACCTGTCGCGACATTCCATACTCTGCCTTCTCTTAAAAAAATTACACTTTTATCAAGGCAAAATCTACATATAGTTCACACTGGCAGTATTGTTTAGTGTCAAACATGTTGAAGATTAGCGAACAGGTCGTCGATTCATTAAATGATAAGCTGTTTCCTGACAAAAGCTGTTTATTCAGCGTAGTGAAGCCTCTCCTCCATTGACATCCATTCAAAAAAGCCGCCTCTGCTCTCCTTCCCTGCGTACTGCGTACCGTTAGCCGTTTGGCTAAAAGTTGCAGCAGGCTTGTCTTCCAGTGGCCTTGATCCAAAGCACATCCTCCTCCTCGAGCATCTTTCACAAGGAGGCGGAAATACGTGTTGACCAGGAAGCGGATGTCAGCGAAAGCATGGCGGCGCGCTGTGTTGTGCAGTCCGCAAGGACAGCGCTGAGGTCCGTTCAGAACGAGCTCAGCACCAAGAGTTTATTTCAGAGGATACCGGGTTTCTCGCAGCTCTCGTTTTTGGGGAGTGCGCCGTGTCGCGGACTTAGACATGGTGAGTTCACTGGAGTTTGATTTCATGACATCTGCACAGCACCCTGCAACGTCCTCTTCATGTCATAACTGTTATTGAGCTATTAAATTATATTATATGCAGTTTAAATGTCTGAGTGCACATCGAAAATCTGGGATGTAATAGAACATTTAATTATTTAAAATTGAAATTTAATAGAAAATGTTCAAAGACGTGTTATAAGGTCTATATTTAATTAATTAAATACGTGTCATAAGTCAGATGGTTTGCACAAACAGCTTGAGTGCATGTTGTCATTAAAGTAATACGCTGGAGAAACAAAAATTAAAAGTACATTTTGCCGAGAACATAATTTGTATGGAAAAAAAATTTTTTTTTTCAGAACACTTTTTTACAAGTGCAATTTTTAATGTTATCGTAGCAAGATGTTTACTGTGGTTCACTTCTGTGTCGCTGTGAATGTCTACATTAGGGAATGTCATAAATCACTTGTGCTTGTTGTGTGTTTTACAGTGGTGGAGAAGAAAGAAGGCAAAACCACAGTTGTAAGTAACACCTTCTCTCTCAAATGTACATTTTACAAAAGAAGGTGCAAATAATAAACGAAACAATATTCCAATTGCAAGGACGATCCTTTCTCAAGCATCCAGGATAGAACAATAACTCGCCAGTATTATCTGTCTTGTGTTAGTCACACTTCAACTTGGTATTATTTACAATACTATAATTATGCTTCTTTTTGTCACTCTTTTATCAGATAGAGGGTGTTATTGAGCCTACATCTGAGCAACCACAGCCTCCCAACCCCACAGCTTCCTGTCCCATCTACAGATGGAACCTACAAAACAAGTACAACTACACCGTAAGTACTCACATGTGATGATTCTGTGCACCATTATTTTTCTCTCATTATCTTTAAGACTTCTCTCTCTCTCTACTGCTGCAGGACGTGCTGTTACTCAGGCAGTTCATTCGCTCAGATGGTGGGATGCTTCCCCGGCGCATTACAGGCCTCTGTGCTCAGGAACATACCAAGATAGTAATTTGTGTACAGATGGCCCATCGTGCAGGTGAGTTGGAGCTTTCTAATGTTTATGTTGTATGAAAATGCTCAGTGTTGCTCCGCTTCAATAAAATCAATGTAATACAACATCTAAAACTGTTTAAACCACATTCTGTTAATTCTCTTTTTTTAATAAGTATTATGAATGCAGCATTTATTCAGCATTTTTAATCTCATATTAACTGAGAGACTATATGGAATATAGAACCATGTAAAATTAACTAGTTAAGGCAACAACAAAAAAACCCTTAAAGAAATGGTGATCAGTTAAAGGTCCAAACATACATACTTTGCCTTATATATAATTATATATATTTTAACCTAAAATCCTAATGCAAAAAATACATGCATCAGCTACTCATCTGTTTCGGTGTCCTTATTAATAGTTACAATCATTTAACCAGTTCCTCTTTTTTTTTTTTTAGGACTCCTACCAGATCATAAACCCCCTTTACCTGAAGGCCATGTTCCAAAACCTAAACCCAACCCACCTCTCAACCGGTACGGTTACCTTAAAAAGATGTAATAATGTCACATATTTGATGAGTCATATTTTCATGTGCCATTTTTAGATTAGGTACATGCCATTAATCAGACTTGAAACTCTTATGGTCTGTTGCAGGTATCTGACACGTTACTCTGTGAAGTCTGTGAAGCCCATCTTCAAGACAGGGCTGAAGTGGTGTAAGAAGAGAATGACTGTAGGACATCCTGCCCTGAAAAACAACGTCAGATACAGCCCCAAACCACTGTACATAAAGCACTGATGGACACAGCTGTTAACCCAATCAAAAGAGTGACTTTCATGGGACTGAGAGGATCTATGACAAAGGATTTGTACCTGCCTCTGGCACAAAGAGACTGTTAATTGATAAACCATCAAAATGTAAATTCAAAGATCACTGTAAAGTAACTCTAGAACTGTATGTTCAGCCCTCTGATTTGGCTTTCCACAGTGTGATTTGGAGAAATGTTAAATTATATTATTGCAAGAGCAGATTTACAAATAAAGCGTTTCCCTCACTTGCAGCTGTTGCATGTGTTTGCGCCAGAGAAAATCCGAGGTAAACGTTTGTGACTGCCTTAAAGGTTGAAACACCAATGCAACTTCAACTTTCCAAACATGCTGACATGTTTATGTTTTCCTGAAATTAAATAACAAAGAAAATTACAGTGCAAGTAAATCACAGAGTTGATTACACATTCACGTTTGAGCGAGATTGAAGCTTTTGCTGTCTTTAAAATGTGGCACCAATACTAGAAACGGTCCTTTTGGCTGCTATAACATGAAGGGCAGGTCAAGGTTCATCAGTCCGTCTCCCATGTAGATGTGCCCATGCTGAGGGGTCTGGGGAATGTGGAAGAAGGTGAGACCCAGCCAGAGCAAACTGCGTAATACACACATAGTGCTGCCCCGCTCAAGCTGGAGGCTCCATGACCCTGCATGAAGGACACACACAGTAAGCAAAAATGACAAGAAAAAGACCAGAATTATCCTACTGTGCAAGATCAAAGGGGGAAAAAGGCAAAAAGCATTTTGCATAAACTGAACCTGAATTTTCGACCATTACACATAACCACTGACAGAGTCCAGACTGTGATAGTGTGACAGACGCAGAGTAAAATCTGGAGAAGAAAGTCGTGTGACAGAGAGTTGGCTCAGTTATAGATAACTATTATCACAGCAGTATATAAAGAAGAGGCGTTCTGGTGTCTTTCTGTCTGGGTGGCCCCTGCATCCAGCTGCCGGCATTGGCTTGCGCCCAGTACTGCAAAGCCCGATGCCAGTGAAGTATGTGTTTGAATTGCAGCACTGAACATTAACTGCTAACAATGTTCAACCTAAAACACTCAAAAGTCTACAATAATGTCCATTGTGACTGCTTTATTATGACTTCAAATATTTATAGGTGGCAGTTCTATAGAGCGCTCACTAATTAGAAAAGCTTTTGAGGATAATATGTAGTAATTAGATTTTCTCGTCCAAAAGATGCGATATTAAATTAGCCTGGCAAATCAGACAAGTTACTTCCATCAACACTGAATGAAACCATTACCCTTCATTTCTTCCAGTGATATTTGGGTTAAAAGTCATATGGTTATACAATATTTTCAGCCTTTCCAAGTTCTTGGGAAATCTCCCCACTTTTTCCTTCTCCAGGCCACATTCAAGGAAACCTGAAATATCACCGCCCAATCCCAGTATCCTCTACCCACTATTTGAGGCATCCAGATGAACCTGTTCACCTCTGGCACTTCTTGAGAGGGGATTGGGTTTTTTCCACCTGATTGGTCAAGGGGAAAAGAAGAAACTGTTACGCAGGGCGGGTAAATGCCCTCTGTCTGAAACCTGCACTACTTTTTCAGTTTCTAGAGACAAAACAAATCAACTTAGCCTAGTATTGCCTGAGGTTAGGGGCCATCCCTTTGAAAGAGAAAGAAAGGACAGATCACCTCCTTTAATGAAACAGCTGAGATGTTTCTACCACACTTAAAGTCTGGGCATGTGTCCAGTAGGTTGACTGTGCCTTCAAACTCTACTGAGAAACTGAGGTTGCATTCAACAGGAGGTCACGCTTAATCTTGCAATGAGCGCTTTTATGCCAGAATCATAAGCTATGTTTTCTGTAAATGTCAAGGCTCAAAGTGATGCTCTAGTGCTTTGCTCGGTATGTTAAACAAGTCAGATTCCATCTGGTTAAGATTCAGGATCAGCAGAACCAGATATTCCTTGAGGAACTCAATGTTAAACAATCAGTAGTGGTCTGTAGCCTGTAGGCAAGCAATGGGTAATGCCTCATGAAGCGTGCTTGATGACTACCTTTCAGCAAGCTTATGTCTGACTTGAATTTGTGGGGAACAACAACATACGAATACATTTCTGAGTAACTGTTTTGTTAGTTCACTCCCAACTGATAAACACGGCAGGAAGACACATGAGATATACGAGTGGGACATTTATAGTTGTTGTAGAAAATGGCATTCCCTCAAACACTTCTTCCCAGAAAGCAAAGAGAACAATGGGATCATGGTTTGCAGAACAACACCCCAGATGTTTCCTTGGCTTTCGCTCGGTCTTAGTCAGCTGCCAAATCATATCTGTCATTAACCCAGGGAAATCTAGCTACAGGGATCATGGGATGCCTTGCAGAAGGACTTTTACACCCTCCTCATATTTCCCACCACTATTAAAGCTTCCTAAATGCAATTTGCATGTCAGCATCATTTTTTGGAAAGTATGGTGGTGCTAACAGGTGTCGTTCACCTTTGAATTATTAAGTCTAAAGCAAAAGAGAGGTCCGATTCAATGCAAACGTTTCATTACAGGACTTGAGGGTGGGAGCTGGAGACTCCCACTGTACCTTCAGAAACAATATTGTGACTGGAAATAAAACCACATTACGAATAAATCATCACACAAAAAGGCAATGAAAGACCGTTCCTTTTAATTACCTTTGGGAATGTCCTCGCTCAAAGGATCTAGGAAGTCAATAGCAGGGTTTAGGTGAGACATTTCCAGGATGGACTTCTTTTTCAGGTTAACCGGCTCACGGAAGTGCAGATAGTTGCGCAGTTTCGCAGCCTCGATGGGATCTAGACCTGCAATCAAGTGTTGTGTGAACACACATCCTCCATGTCCTGACTAGGATTTCTAAATTGCCTAAAATGTCCAGGTTTGTATCTATTGTACATAATCGACCAATCGTGGCAAGCAAGAAGGTGGGATGTACAGAGAATGCTCAAAGCAATGCAATTGCTCATACATATAATGTATGAAGACTGTAGAGAGAGCACATCAATAGAGAAACAAAGACAAAACCTGGACATTTTTGGCAATTTAGAAATCCCGGGCCAGGGAAAAAAAAGAGGACGTATGGTCACCCAAATCATGTGCAAAATTTAAACTGATCTAGGGTCTGACAATTCAGATAAATTACAACATAATCAGATGAACTGAAGACTGATTACAAGAAAGTGGCTTCAGAGAACTGAAATGGATTCCATTTTACTAAGAAATGGAAGCATACAGACTTTAGTTTTATACTCACACAGCTGCATCTGATTGCGGGTGGAAAGCATATACAAACACTTCTGAACTGCTAAGAGTTTGACTGTAAACATACCTCCAAAGCTTCGGTTTGTCTGCACTTTGCCGCTGGGGCTCTTGGTAAATGCACCACGTGGCACTACAGACGCATCTTTATCGATGTTTGACACGGCTGTTGCCAGTCTACTTGCCTCATTCACTTTCACCTGCAGAAACGGAGGCATGTTAACCACTTCATAAACATTCAAGAAGCCGCCTGCCATCTACCATGTTTACTCCATTATAAACCATGAATAAACAGAAAACCGAATAAATAATAACAGTTGTTTTACATCCAAACATTACCACGTCCACATAAATACAACATTAATTTGTGTGTTTCCAATTTTCCTTGAAATGTTTAGACTCTTTTGATTGCTAAAAAATTAAAGATTGGTCAACAAAGCAAGATCTGTGTTTTATAAAGACACGAACATCTCACAATCCTGAAATGCAGATATACCACATTAGCCAAGGAAGATGGGCTTTTGGATCTATTTTCCTATTTCCAGAAAGCTGCATGCTCCTTATAGCCCCATCTGTGTCGTGTAACCCAAGTGCCCCTCCTCTCACCGTGACCTCTTCCTCCGTGGCGTCGTCCCCCTCTCCCTTAATGCGCATCTCTGTGTGCTCATACTCATGGGACGGGTCGCCTGTGAATCGCCCTTGTGCTGCTAATGCCACATCTGCAATCATGGACTCAGTGGCTGGGGGTAACAGGTGCCAATCCATGCAGTTTAAACTGTTTAGTGATAAAAAATTATAAAAATTACATTTCAGAAAGAACACAATTTATCACTCACTAACAAGATTAAACAGATATTGGTATTGAATATCACTGTTACTAATAAATATATTAATATATATATAAAATATTATTCTTCGGATAATTAAAATGTTCTTCACAATAAGAAAAAAATGGTTCTTTTATGAAATGTTCACTGAAAGGAAACCAAAATTATTGTTCTATATATATATATATATATATATAATTATTATTTTTTTATATATAAACCATTTTACTAATAAAATATTTTTCATTATACAATTTTTGAAACTTTCACTTGAATGGCCACCATATTAAGATTACATTTTCAACAGAAATTAGTAATTAAACCAATAAAATGTTATTTGCAAAATCAACTTCTTATGTCATATTTGGCCGAGACAAATGTAGCCAAAGTTCACGATCACAAACAAGCACTTATCTAAACAAGAAACATGATTTCATACCTGTACAAAGACTTTTTGTTTTTAATTTCATCATCTTCAACTCCTTGAGCAATAAAATAGTCGCATTTTATCCCCAAAATCTTTCCCCAAAATAAAACCCGGCTGAATTTGTAGTTTCTCTTCAGAATGACCAGTGAGGTTTGAAGAGCGGCTCTCTGCTCACTGCTCAGAGTCAAACCATTACCTGCGGCTAAATCCAGCGAGTAATGCAAAGATTCGGAGTCCATCTCAACAGCATTTACTAACAAATTTATATCTACAAAAGAATAAATTTCGCTTGTTTGTTGAACTGACGCTAGCAAGCTAATCAGCCTCAGAGTCTCCGGTTACCCTGTGGTTGCTAAAGTAAACAAAAGCCCTAGCATCCTGTTGCTATAGCAACTCACAAACACTCGGCTCACTACAGCTGATGTTTAAGAAAAATATATATTTAATTAATATTCTAATTAAATTAATGCTTGTTTTTTATATATATATATATATATATATACATATATAACAATATTCAGAAATATTAGAATGTTAGTTATTTTTTGCATTTGATTTTCGGGTCATCACAGGAGGCTCCTCATCTACTCAAAGACAAACAGGAAGCATGTGACACAGCTGGCAGGATGTGTGTTCTGTCTGACCTAATGCCCTCTGCGTGATACCAGCAGCTTCACACGCTGTATGTGTGAATGAGTGCTGTTAACAGCATCTGTGGCTGACAGCAGAAGTCAGCTGCCTGTTGTGAACACATCAGCGTGTTTGTGTGTGTGAAGATAGAGGCTGTTTAAGATGATGACAAACAGAAGTAGTGAGTTTTTGATTTTTTTCGTTTTTGCACAGGCATTAGAAAACTCATATTTCATCCCAAAATTGAAAGGAAAAGAGAAAAAAGTTATATTTGTATATTGTCTATGTATCTATCTATGTATTTGTGTATCTGTCTATGCATTTTATGTATCTATCTATCTATCTGTCTGTCTGTCTGTCCAAATATTTGCATTGTGACAATTATTTTGACAATTTTATTTTTTACATTTCACCCTCAAATTCTCATGGTATGGTAATGCCACAAATAATAACAATAATAAAATAATAATAATAATAATAATAATAAATAGTTAATTGTCATGAAAATAATGCCACTATAAAATATACATTGAAGGCTGTAAAGAAGGTTTAATTTTCTCTGTGCAAAATATTATAATATATTTTGCTTTAGTTTTGGGATGAATTGTAAATAGCGTGGTGGTTGGTAAAATCTTATATTTAGTGAACTTGTTTTCTTTTCTTTCTCCACAAAGTTCACTTTTTTGTTTCATACTGTAATAAAAGTTCTTTATTGGCATCAATGGTTCAATGAATAACCTTTAACACCTTTGAAAACCTTTCCATTGCACAAAAGGTTCTTTGGATAATTAAAATGTTCTTCACAATAAGAAAAAAAGGGTTCTTTTATCAAATGTTCACTGAAAGGTTCTTTAGGAAACCAAAATTGTTCTTCTATGGCATTGTTTTGAAAACCCCCTATGGAACCTTTATTTTTAAGAGCGTATGTCTGCTCTATAGCATCAGCTTTCTCCTGCATGGCAAAACCTTAACAAGCAACATCCGTTACAGGTGTCAAGTGATTAGCACTCCAGCACTCTTGAAGCCAGTCTCAGTGTGAGCGCTAGCAGGCTCATATGTCTGCATTGCTGCGATTGGGGATGGTTCTTCATCGCTGTTGAAAAACGGTTAGCCACAAAGACCCTGCTGAGTTAGCGGCACACATGTTCAACACGCACACAGACGGACGGCCTCATTCACAGGAGATTAGTGGCCACAACATCACACCCGCCTCTGGCTATAACTCACAAAGCGCAGAGCCTCTGAAAGAGCATGACCAGAGCAGAAGACTTCAGACAGGAAGGGGAGGATGAGGAGGAGAGGAAGAGGGTGGGAAGGAAGTGAAGACGTCTGTATTTCACATCTTCGGACAGATTTGTCTCATGCTTGTCTCAACTGGTAGATCTCAACATGACTTATTGAGAAGGCCTTATAGGCGCACTAACTTATGTTTAGGTTTTCGCTGCTTGACCCAACTTTGACATATACAGTGTTGGGTGTAATGCATTATTAAGTAATTATAGTAATTTATTGAATTATGCCTTGAAAAAGTAAAGTAAGGGATTACTCTTTATTTTTTCTGTCATTTAATTACAGTTACTTCTAATGTAACTAACAATTAAATTCTCTAATTTAATTACAGTTACTTCTAATGTATCTAACATCAAAATTTAACATCTAATGTTAAAATGTATGTTTTTATACGCTGGTCAGTTCAAGAATAATTTATGTAATATGAAAGTAATTAGTAATATGCATTTATAATTGCATCATTTCTCATTTTTGTTTATGCTTTTTAAATTTAAGTTTACATTTTTCATCTAATATTTTTATTTTATTTTATTTTAATTAATTAAAACAATTCTAGTTGTAGTTAACAATAACACTGAAAGCAAATGTTTTCTATTTAACGTTGCTACTGCAGAAATACATATACATCTTTTATAATGTAATTTATTATGTGTTTATAATTTTAGACATTTGTTCGTAAGTACAATCTAAATGTCTGTAAAAAAAAATCCATATTGATTTTTCTCAGGTGTTTTCACCATATTTTGAAATACAAATTGCATCGACTTAAAGGAAATATCTGTAAACTTAACAGAAAATATCTTGGCAGAAAATGACAAATACCTTTTCTGTTTTTATATGGCTACTTTCTTACTCTTTAGGAGTAAAACTTTTTTTTGTTTATTTTTGTTGTTGTTGTTTTTTTTACAGTGGAAAAAAAAGTTACTTTAAAAGGATAGTTCTCCCAAAAATGAAAATTCTGTTATCATTTACTCCCTCCAATATTAATTTCTTCCATCTGTGGAACAAAAAAGATGTTTCACGGAATATTTAGATCACTCTTTTTTTGTTCAGTGAAAGTGAATGAGGTTGTCAAGCTCCAGAAGATACAAAAAAGTACACTCGATTGCATTTCTTCTGATACCATACTATAACATTATTGACATCAAACCTGGTGCAATGCATCTGCATGTGCCATATTTCAGTAGAAGTGACCACACATATGATTTGAGCACAAATAAAAACTTAAATTTAAGTATGTTCCTCACAATTTCTGCATTTATTTTCTTCCACACAAGAAAGTAAGTCATGGAATGAAATGGGGGCGAGTAAACGAAAACAGAATTTCCCTTCAAGCTAAAGAGAGTTGTAGAATTACAGACCGCCGTTTCAGAGGCAGATTTCTAGCTCCATAAGATTCTGATGACGATCAGATAACAGAGCAAAAGTCCCAATCTGGGAATTCTCCCTCTAATTCTTCAGTTTCTTTACTCATTTCTGTCTGTCTCAGTTTCTCTGCAAACCTTAAGAGACGTCTGGCAAGGAAACAAAACTTTGCTATTAGTTTTCCCTTAAACGTTGTGTCTGGGTGAAGTGGAATAAGTTTACCCCCAGGGCTTGGTGAGGGTCTATTACTCTCGGCTCTGAGAACGGTACCTTACAGACCACCAGCGTTGCCATGGGAATAATCCCTCAGACAAAAGGGAGGGATCAGCAGGGGAAATCAATGCTGTCGGGCTTTGTGGTTGGCTGGCATAGAGATCAGTCATACGTACTCCGGGTCACGAGGTCAGAGGCGTCAATCATGGCTTCCGAAAAGAGTGCAGACCATCTGAAAAGAGAGAGAAGAAGGGAGGAGAGGAGGAAACATCTTCGTCCGTGTTAATGGAGGGATGAATCATCTTTTGAGTATTTCGAGGCACCATATACAAGTACAACTATAATTGGTTCTTGTAGTTTGAAAGACCAAACTCAGCTGGAGATGAGCCATTCAGTGTGTGTGTGTGTGTGTATTCAATCATGTGATGTGAGTTACATGAAATCACATCACATCTAGAGCCCAGTTTACAGGATTAAGTAATTGCACTTTCTTTAAAAACTAGATTTTGTGTGTTTGTTTTTTTCCAGTGCAAAAATCTCTACAATGATTCCAGAGCATTTGAAAGTGGTTTCTGCACTGAGTTTGCTCACCAGTGGATCCTCTGCAGTGAATGGGTGCCCAAACAGCTGATAAAAACATCACAATAATCCACACCACTCCAGTCCATCAATTAATGTCTTGTGAAGCGAAAACTGCATGTTTGTAAGAAACAAATCCATCAAGGCATTTCAACCTTAAACCAAGTCAATTTCATAATAACGCTTCCTGAAGTGAAAAAGTCCATCCGCTATTGTCCTCTAACATCAAAATCCACCAAAAAATTTGTTTTAAACTGTTTTTGCTTATAAAAGGTACTTGATCTGTGCATATTTCTCTTCTGATTCAGACGAGACAACTTTTTCACAAAATTAAAGCAATATTATGCAGAGGTGTTTTGGCCAGAAGCAATGGTTTGAATTTAAAAATGTCTTAATGATAGACTTGTTTATTAAAAATGCACAGCTTTTTATTTTACAAGTCATTAATTTATGGACTGGAGTCATGTGTATTACTTGTGGACTATTGCGATGTTTTTATCAGCTGTTTGGACTCTCATTCTGACGGCACCCATTCACTCCAGAGGAACCATTGGCGAGTAAGTGATGTAATGCTGAATTTCTCCAAATCTGTTCTGATGATGAAACAAACTCATTTACATCTTGGATGAGTACATTTTCAGCAAATATTCATTTTTGGGTGAACTATTCCTTTAAGGTATCATTAATGTCTGTAGACGTCTTGTAAACAGCAAGGAACGAGTTACATCCTAAAGTTTATATTTAGTGATTTCGTGTTAGGAATTTGCAGAAATCCTTATGCAGAAGCATGAGGAATAGTAACAGTGATGGTTGTCTTAACAAGCAAAACTAATAAAAGAAACCGTTTATTTACTAATTACCTAATTATATATCTATTAATATCCTAATTGTTGGTTTTACATCTCATTTACAACACCTGTTTCCAGAGGTACGATAAGATTTTTCTGAATTCGCTACAGCTGCCAACACTTGACACACATTATCACCAGAATGCTTCATTGGTCAGTTTTGTCACCCTGAGGCCCCAGCAAACACCATTCAGTGAAACTTGTTCTCAGCCCATTTAAAGAACTACCAAAATGCTTTATTTGACTCATATGCATCTTTTGTCTCAAGTTGCATGTGGGTGTTTGCGTCATTAGGGCCGTAAAGCTTTCTGAGGGTTTATTGTGGTGTCAAACACTGTAAATGATGTTCTTTCTGGCACTCACAGACTAAAATGAAGCTGTAAAAATACATACTCTAAATTCATATGACTGTATATATGGTTTACACCAAATATGTGACCTCTACACAGTATTGCGTATTCTTTAATTTATTTATTTGAGTATCTACACACTCAAATACACACATACCCAAGACAAATCGTAGCAAAGCTTAAAAGTTACAAAGTTTAAACTTTTTGTGCAATAAAATATTTGGCAACCTAAACGTGAACCCAATTAACTACCTGGCACCACTAAAAATGTACAAAAAATACTGTAGTATTACCATGTTTTTTGTTCCCCCATGGTACCATAGTGATACCGTTTATATATATATATATGAGAAAAGTTTGACACACACACACACACACACACACACACACACACATTAGATCAGTTTCTGTTCTTTTGCCATTTTGAATGCTGATCCTGGCATTTGTAGCCGGTCAGTCGAGTTTGTGGGCTGCTTATGGTGTTAAAATAAGATGATTTTGCTCTATCCTGACTAATGAGCTGAAAACCGCAGTCAGGAGAAATGTGTCAAGTGTGTGTTTGGAGGACGTTCATTCACCCATTTCCAGGACAATCTGAGGCTTAAGACTATGAGACTCAATGTACGGAGGTTAAGCAGTTTAAATGATCAGACACTTTCTGGAACAGTTTCTGTTCCACTTATATAATGAATATACAGTACAAAAACACAAACACCGGAACCATATCAAGAACTTCCCTTCATATCCACAATATCTTCCCCTTGCATTACAGCTAAAGGAATAAATATGTTTGTACTTGTTAAAGCACCTACATGAATTATATAGTGAAGCCCTGTTTCCTATTTGCTCTATAGATTTCGACCTTTTTTAAAGTGGGAACACTTTCTAGGTAGATGAGTTTCTAGTTAATAGCTTCCGAAGTAATTAGAATTTGCTCCATGTAATCCGTCCCTTTCTTACTGTTGTGGTCAAGACATTAAATTTGAACTTTATGCAGACATGATCAGCAAGCGATTTTATCACGCTAGTCTCATGTTAAAAAAAAAAACCTTAAGTCTTAAAGGTTTATGCATTGCCCAGTTAACTTCATTTTAAGAGCCTTACTGTAAATCCAATCGTGGCATATTTTTTGTCTAAATAATTTTCTCTATAATAGTTGACATTATGCCAAAATACTGAGTTTAGCTTGTATTGAACCTGAAACATCTCTCTGCTTCAGTCTGAACTGATCTGGGAAGAACCAGAATGATCAGAAAGCAACAGTGCCACCTAGTGATGATTCATTCTCTCACACACAACTACAAATCTGGTAATGAAAGGCCACTGAGCTATGAGCTCAATATATCTGTCAACATAAATATATTAACATATTTGTATAAAATGTTGCTTTAAAACAGATAATTAAGAATGACAAACAATACAGAAACTCGCTTTCTCTCACTCACTCACACATGCACACACAATTTACAGTTATAAAGTGTGTTAAGTTGTTTCTAACAAGGCACAAGTGTCAGTTCAAGTGTTTTGATATACTCGAGTTATATTTGAACTCCTTGGCAAGTGCTCATTGGCAAAGCTGGTTTTGTAGAAATGTTTGGACAGTGTGTTTGAAAGTTTAAAGTCTTTGGCGAGAAGAATTGATCCCAAAAAGCTCCTTTAGGTTTGTTATATGGCAGTTTATGATTAAATGTTTCTCAAGTCTCTCAGTAGGTGTAAAAAAACAACAACAACAACATAAAAAGCTAGAAAGTGTGATTTTTTTCCTCACCAAAAGATCCCGTTTTTAAAAGTAAATTCCCTCCATCTCCACAATGACCTCCAACCTCTAATTCAGCAAGAACCATTTCCTCCAGAGGTAAAAGGGCAGTTGTGATTGGTCGATCTCTGTTGTTAGATATCGGAGTCTGGACAATCTTCCTCTGTGCCGAGGAAGGGCGGGCTTGTGTCTGTGGTGCCGTATGAATGGCGAATGCTGCATTCATCAGATTCGGACGATGCATCTGGGTTCAAAACTTTGGGAAGATACACCTAAAAAGGATGGAGAGAGAGATTTTGGTCATCTCAAAATCTATAAAAAAAATTAAAAAATATGAGCGTAATATAAAAATGTGAAACTTGCCGATGCAGATGAGCTCTCGGAAACTCTATCTGCCGTGTCTTCATCTTCCTCCTTAACCTGAATCACAGACAATGCAATTACTTTTATGCATTCAGCAGACCTTTTTTATCCAAAGTGACTTAAAATAGAGGAACAAAATAAATATTTCACAGAGCCAACAATATTTGAAGTATACAATGACAGGTTTATTAGAAAGCAAGATTAGGAGACAAGCTGGAGCAGAGGAGAAATGCAGAGAAGAAGAAAAAAAAGAAGAGGATTTGTGTGTGTGTGTGTGTGTATATGAGTGCATTGGTTTAAGGTTGTGGGGTGGTGAAATTATAACCATTCAATTATGGTTAAATTACAACAATACATTGTAAATTCAGATAAAACTTTGACACAGAACAAAGCAGCTTACGTTGTAGTTGTGCGGACTGAGGTATTTGAAGTGTCCGAAGCAGGTGTAACTTATACAGATAAAGATGGTCACACACAGAACCACTAAAGTGAACAGTGACGTAGCCGTCATGAAGCCTATGGAGAAACGAAATCAACATATATCCACTATTTAAATCAAATATGAATTCAACTGTCCGAGAAACGCTGATTTAATCAGCTAATTAGTTGATGTTACCTGTTCTGATCACAGAGAAGAAATAAAGCCACATCAGACATATGACTGGTGCAGCCAGTGCTTGATTGACAGCTCCCAGGTGAACTTGCCGATCGAGGCGGGCGGGCAGGTAAGCGAAGTACAGGTTGTGTTTGTCCACCAGGTGTTTCAGCAGCAGGTACAGCAAACCTGCACACATGACACAGTGTGTTAATGTAATGTTACATACACTAATACTGTGTTTAAGGTCTTGAGGAAATGAAATCAGACCGAAGGGGACGATGACAGGACAGGTGATGCTGTACGCCATGATGACCGTGAACACACACAGCGTCCATCCGTACATCGCTCCGTACTGAAACTCATACGCCTGATTCTACAGAGTCAAGAGGTTACAAGTGGATCAGCAATACATTTCTGTTAATTCTATTTCAAATCCGTTTCAAGGGATAATCATATTATCATATTAATCATATTAACAACATATTGTCTATACAGCATGATAGAAATGTCAATGCTATTTTAATGCCAATTAAAATGAAAGTATAATAATAAAATAAAGGTTAAAAGATACTTTTTAAATTATTTTTATGCCACACTGGTTAAAATGTAATAAGTTCTGAAGCAAAAATTCCAAATCCTATTTGAAACATCAAAAGCCACAGACGGACCTGTTTAACATATTTCCTCTCAGCAGCCGAATGTGCGAGTGCCAGACGCACGATGTAGAGCAGTAACCCTGGCAACCGCAGCAGCTCCATGGCAGAGCCCACCAGAGCTGCCGCAATCACGTAATTTACAAAGAATGCCCCCTGATCAGGTAAAAACACACACCTGAGACACACAGAGAAGAGAAGATGGAAAGGCATTGTTATATTTCGGTGCATGTCACAAAATTATCCTGAATAAATCATTCTGATTTGAGCAAATAAATCACAAGAGTAAGTACACAAGATACTCACTCAAACCTCAGCTTCCCTTCAGACTGTTTATCAAACAACCAGCGGAAAAACACGTCTAGACTGAGAGAAAAGAGAACACATCTGTATCTGTACACATGCTCAGTTTGGGAACATTTTAGACCCACTGTACTCTAATAAAAAATTCATTAATTTATGGTTTTAAATTATCACAGGTGGGTGGGTTTCCTAGATTATTATTTTTTTTTTTATAAATAATAAAAACAAACAAGTAAACAAATAAACAAATAAATACATTTATTTAGTTTTTTGTTTTTTTTTTAAATTGTGATTGCAATTTAAAATGTGAATTTTTTTAAAGCTGTTTGTAGGGCTGCACAATTTGGCCAAAAATTTTGTGATATATAATAATAATAATAACATATTAAAACAAAATAATAAACACTACTATTGGTCAATTCTACTGTAAAATATAAAAAAAAATGCATAATAATCATCATCATCATCAGTTCATACCTGGTGAGGCCCAGTGAGGGCAAAATCAACACCATGAAGATCAGGAAGGTGTAAAGCTTGTACATCATGCTCATATTTTCACTGGACCTTCACACACACAGATAGACAGGCATTATTAAGCAAGCTTGTTTGTGCATGAGTGCGTCTATTTGAGGTTGAAGGTCTACCTGGTCCAGTGGGCCTCTCCCAGTGTAGAATAATACACTATGGTGGGCAACAGGGCCGAGAAGGTCCACAGCAGAAGAGTGGGGAAGAACTGGCTGATAACGGCACTCTGCAAACACAACACAGTCTTTACATCACTGCACTTCATGTGCTCACATCATTATACATGTTCAGTCACATACATTCAGATAGTGAACGGGCTTGGTGACATTAAACTTGTCCATGGTGCTGATGATGATGGAGGGTGTTGTGAGAAAGAAGAGGAGGAAGAAGAGTGCCGTATTCAGCAGCAGAAAGCGTAGCCACCAACGCCACCCATGTACTGACAAATTCTCCCTGAAAGAGATGAAGAGGTCAAGGTTTCTCTATAAACTAAAGCAGGTTGTACTATTACAGATTTTGTTCCAAAAAAAAAGTATAATTGGATAATCCTACCAGTAGATATTATGTGGGTGAGGAGCGTAATTCACTTTCCATTTGTTCACCCTCAGTTCTGCGCTCTTAGAGGATGGCTGAGGCTCCCGGCCACACCCACACCTGATTCCCCCACCCATTTCTTCTCCAGCCACACCCCTTGCCCCGCCTCCACACTCCAGTGCATTGAAATCTTTCAGAATACTGTGAGGAAAGACAAATGACACTCAGAGCGCAACAGTTGGGTTCCAGAAAAAAAGAAAAAAAAAAACGATTTACTTTCTCCATAGGGAGAAACAAGATTTCTTTCACTTTTCACAGTATATTTCATCTGGTAAAAATAATGTGGCTTACGAGGCAGCATAATTTTCATACAAAGGCTGTTGAGTCTAAGCACAAATCACTTACTAAGTGGCCATGTACTCATTTTGCAGGGTGACAAATGCCATTCCCAGAGGATGCAGTTTATCTTCCTCCTTCCGTTTATTTTCCTCCTCACGCAGAGCAGCCTCCTGTGAGCGGTAGAACTCTATAGCATCAACCTACACATAAACACACATGCTATTTAGACGCCCAAAGCTTGAAAAGTCAAAGGCCACTGATATCGATGGTAGTACTTACCACTTCACAGCCCTTACAGTGACTACAGCAGCAGCACAGGTGGCTGCATGGGCGCGGGTTGATGACCTCACGTCGTCCCTGGTACTCGAGTATCTTATTGTAATGTCGCAGATTTTTTTCGGCCTGTTTCCTGTTGCAAAAAATTACAATAAAAATAAAGAATAAAACAAATTATAACAAAAATATTAATGATAATACCGGCGTTATTATAGTTAACTAAAACCAAAACCATAAAAAAAATGTAATTTAAAAAAAGTAATTATTTTTTTTTTTATTAAAAAATGTTACTTGAAATAAAATAAACATTAACTGAAATAAAGTATTTTAAAAGTACTTAAACTTATTTTATTTGTTGACAAGGGAAAAGTTCTCATTTTCATTTTTCAGTTTAATGAACCTGATGTACTAAAATAATTCAAACTAAAACTGAAATAAAAAAACTATATAGACATATTTTTTTTAAATCTAATAAAAATGACAAAAACAGAACAGAATTTACTAAAACTTAACAAAAAATGAAAATGGAAAATATAAAAATAAAAACTAATTCAAACTATTAACAAAAACTAAAAAATATCTCAATAATACCAAGATAACACTGAATCATACAGGCTTGTGAGGGTATGTCCTATAAGATCTATGGACAACTATGAATAATAACGGCTTTTAATAATTGACTTTCTTACCTGTTTCTGTCCAGGTCAATCAGTTTGGCAACATCGTAACACAAGTTAACATCAGTCACTTGACAGGTGGGGTACACCTCCCTGCAAACAAATATACATTCAAGACACATTAATATTGATAGTATATTAATACTGATAATAATTGATAGTCTTCCCGAACACATTTCCCATCTTCCTGTGCACTAAAAAACAGGTAGTCCTGGCCCAAATCAGTTACTAAAACAAACAGATTACAGTTTCATTTGGCATCAATATTACACCTGATTATTATCAAAATTATGCATTACGCATTATGGCTGTTATTTAAGTATATTCCATATATGTAATGTTAATCAATTCATGTGAATGTCTCATGAATATATGCTGACCAAGAAGTCTTTGAGATCCCACTGTCTCATGCCCTGTATACTGAATGGAACAAATAACATGGAGATGGGAAGGAAAAGATGTCTGGATGAATGGCTAAAAATAAAGTGAACAAAACGAAGTCTTGGAAAATCATTCCCACTTACATAAATTGAGTTTTAATAGTCTCATTACCGGCCGCAGTGGGTACAGCCCTCACAAACAGGGTGTTTCTGGCCTATGGAAAAATAAACCAGGGTCAGACTGAGACCATGTATGTGTGTGTGAGAGAGAAATGGTAGGACGGCTTACTATCTCTCTCTTGGTTCCCTTCATTTTAGAGGTGTGTCGTCTCAGCAGGGCCACCGTGATCATGAGATATAGAACTGCAAATACTGTGTGCAGCCAAAGCAGCGTATCACTGCAAAGACACCATTTAAAATACAGTTCAAATAGACACACACAGACACATTCAGACATTTGCACATAGATACATACTGTACATACCCCTGCTTAAGATTCACTATGGTGGTTCTCCCAAAACTGTAGGGATCGTTGCCTGGAACACAGTAATGAGTCAGACTTTTCCCATCAGCAGAGACTGAAGTCTAAGAAAAGAAACTTGAAAGTATTTCATATGGTGACATTATGTGAGATTATGAACCACTACCGCCTTTCCAAAACCTAGTGAGCTAACATATTTATGCATCCTATGCCTAAACACAATGCCTTTAAAAATAAAAATATATAAACTTAATATATTTTTAAAATATATACGAATTACCATGCTCTTATCTTGAATAAGGAAGGATCAAAATCTCCAAAACGGTTTGTCGTGATTACATTTAATAATTCAAATCATCAAAAAAATCTGACAATAGGCATCCTATGCCTAAACACAATGCCTTTAAAAATAAAAATATATAAACTTAATATATTTTTTAAAATATATACTAATTACCATGCTCTTATCTTGAATAAGGAAGGATCAAAATCTCCAAAACTGTTTGTCGTGATTACATTTAATAATTCAAATCATCAAAAAAATCTGACAATAACAGTATCACAAATCAAATAATGCTAAAGTCTGTCCATGAATGTCTTCATATGAAAGTCATATCAATAATAGTATCACAAATTATTAATTATATCATATTATATTAGAAATTTAATAAGTATATATTCAATAAATATTCAAAAATGATGTTGTATTATATATATACTTCAGTTCACATTTTGGGATCAGTAAGATTTTTAATGTTTTTTAAAGAAGTGTCTTATGCTCATCATGGCCGGATATTATTACAATTTAAAATAACGCTTTTCTATTTTAATATACTTTAAAATGTAATTTATTCCTGTGATGCAAAGCTGATTTTTCAGCATCGTTACTCCAGTCTTCAGTGTCACATGATCCTTCAGAAATCATTCTAATATGCTGATTTATTATCAATGTTGGATATTGAGATATACTACATTTAAAATCAGCATTAGAATCTTACAATAACAGTATAATAAATCTTAAATCAAATAAATTTCTGGCTCCACAGACATTTTCATATCAAAAAGGCTCTTTACACTTTTATTCCTACAGCAGCCACATTTCTTTCATTCATTTTTCTATGTCAGTGTCTCTGGTTTTAGTCAAGTCTCTGCTTTAGAGAAACCGTAAACAGTGAGGCAGCTCGCTAGTTTATAACCAAGCTACTTTATGAAGGATTCTTGAGACCGCATTGAATTTTCCAGTGTGTGTGTGTGTGTGTGTGAGATACCCAGCAGGTCGCCGGATAGATTGACTGGTAGGATGATGTTGACAGACAGCACACAGATGAGCAAGAGCAGGATGACCAGGTGCTTCTGAAATGACAGATAATGTACTGCATCCACTCCGCATCTCTCCTGAACCAAAGTCTCACTGCACACACACAAACATGCAAACACATCAGTTTCACTTCTTAGTTCTTTTACCATGCAAACTTCCCTATTTGAGCTCAGGAAAAAGCAACAATATCAACAGGAAAAAGCTTTCCAGGTGTACACATGTCAAATGAATATGTAGCACCATCAGGAAGGTAAATAAACAGCACTTACTCCATATTGACAATAAAGGTGAGCCAAGAGCAGCAACCCTACAGGAAATGAGGAAGATCTCGATGATGTCATGAATGATGTCATAATGAGGATGATGATGGTCAAAACTCACCTTCTCGTATTCAGGCTCCTCAACAGACATGGATGACGTCAATCTACTGTAAGGCCGTTTATTAGCATCTCTGAACCTGCAGCAACAAAAGACAGGGCTCTTCATCTCACCATCCTCACCGTTTTCATCTTCTCTATTTAAAATTATTTTTTCTAAATTAAAAATATAAGAAAAATATTAAAATATTATAAAAAATAAAATAAAATACAATAAAAATAAAAGAATTTTTATTATTTACAATAACAATACAGCATCCAGTAATTGCTGGCGTTGAGACAAAATAGAATAGAAAAAAAAGAAATTAAGACTTTAAACGTAAACATTTTTTTAAATGTTATATGAAAGAAACAATATATAGGCCCATACTATAAAGATAAATAGACTTAAAAATATTTTTCGAAGTAAGCAAATTTATTTATAAGGTTATTATTATTTAATATAGCTATTTTTGTTAGGTCTAAAAGATTATAGTAGCCTACGTTTTACAAGAAAATACGGTTTCAGTCTTTCTACTTCAAAATTTCACATTTAATTCTTGCCATTTCTTTGTAACTATTTGTGAAATTTACTAGCAGTTTCTGAGTTTTTTTTTTTTTACACAAATTATTTACATTGTAACAAGTTTTTAAAATGCATAAACAAATCAAATATTATTAGAGTGCTTTACAAGAAAATGTATGAAATTTGCTTGCAATTTCCGCTTGCAAATTACAGTAAATTATTTTCAGTGTAGCTAAAGGTAGCAATAAACAGTGAATTGCTGCGAAACAACATGCAGTATGCTATGTGCAATGAAGGGTAAATGTATTATTTGTTGTTTAGATTGTACCATGTTTTTAGACTGCTTTCATGTGTCGAAAACAGGCAAAATTTTCCAAACGGCGTCTGATTTAATTGGTGCATCCTCACATTTGGTTTAAATAGATTACCCCGGGCCCTGGAGGGGGAGGAGAGCGAGATGAAGAGAGTCTCTGAGCCTTTACAGTGAATCCCAAGTGATTGACAGGGCGGCTATATCCGTCCAATATCATGCCGCTCACGTTCTCATTCGCCTCTGCGTGGCCCTCTGCGGCACCATCTGACGCGCGAATTAAGCCCCGCTGCAGGCTGGAGAAGGGCGACAGGTTCCCTAATCAGCGGCTGATTGCGGCGGCGGCGGCGCTCGGGGAGAGAGCTGCGGTGATTGGGGTATGGAGGCTTTGATTGTTTTCGGTCAGCCTGACAGCTGAGGAATACTGCCTCTAATCAGCGTAGTCAAGATACTGGCATGAGTGGCAAATGAACAGTCAAGCACACAAGCACACACAGCCTCATTTAGATGTTTCGCTTGGTTAGGCTACTGTAAACACACGAAATAAAGCGTGAAGCATTCATCTAATCTGTCTGTGCTGTATAGCCTACATACATCTATTTCTGGCTCCACAGACATTTTCATATCAAAAAGGCTCTTTACACTTTTATTCCTACAGCAGCCACATTTCTTTCATTCATTTTTCTATGTCAGTGTCTCTGGTTTTAGTCAAGTCTCTGCTTTAGAGAAACAGTAAACAGTGAGGCAGCTCGCTAGTTTATAACCAAGCTACTTTATGAAGGATTCTTGAGACCGCATTGAATTTTCCAGTGTGTGTGTGTGTGTGTGTGAGATACCCAGCAGGTCGCCGGATAGATTGACTGGTAGGATGATGTTGACAGACAGCACACAGATGAGCAAGAGCAGGATGACCAGGTGCTTCTGAAATGACAGATAATGTACTGCATCCACTCCGCATCTCTCCTGAACCAAAGTCTCACTGCACACACACAAACATGCAAACACATCAGTTTCACTTCTTAGTTCTTTTACCATGCAAACTTCCCTATTTGAGCTCAGGAAAAAGCAACAATATCAACAGGAACAAGCTTTCCAGGTGTAAACATGTCAAATGAATATGTAGCACCATCAGGAACGTAAATAAACAGCACTTATTCCATATTGACAATAAAGGTGAGCCAAGAGCAGCAACCCTACAGGAAATGAGGAAGATCTCGATGATGTCATGAATGATGTCATAATGAGGATGATGATGGTCAAAACTCACCTTCTCGTATTCAGGCTCCTCAACAGACATGGATGACGTCAATCTACTGTAAGGCCGTTTATTAGCATCTCTGAACCTGCAGCAACAAAAGACAGGGCTCTTCATCTCACCATCCTCACCGTTTTCATCTTCTCTATTTAAAATTATTTTTTCTAAATTAAAAATATAAGAAAAATATTAAAATATTATAAAAAATAAAATAAAATACAATAAAAATAAAAGAATTATAACTAAATATTATGAAAATAACTATATATAAAAATAAATATATATTTTTTTTTAATAATAATTTGGCTGGCTTAACACTGCAATTTTTATATAATTTTTTGACTCACTAAAGACCATTTACAGTAAATTATAACACTGTATGTTTCCATAGTAACTACTACTGCTTTCATCTTACATACCCTTCAGTCTCTGCGACAAGAGCGAGTCTCCCATAATCCCACAGTCTCCTTCTGATCAGAGTGAAGACTATTAGCAGCACCTGCGGGAAGATACACAGCACTATCCAATTACATCCGTACCAACCAATCAAATCCCACAATTCCTGCAGCACAAGCCAATCGGATCCCAGCTAACTGCAGAACTTACCACGAAGAGTGAGAAGTCCATCAGCAGGACGACGGGCACTCCTCCGAAATTCACCCCCTTCAGCACGGTGCTCTGTGTGGCACTGAAACAGCTGCTGTTGTCCACATGGGCAGTGCCATTATCCACCGTCACGGAGAGGTGCCCCCTCAATGTGGAGGCCATCTGGAGGACAAACAGGTACAAACTGTACAATTTTACGTTTGCTGTCCCTGAAAAGATAAGTTTCGGTGACACAAATGTCATCAGGATCCCAGATGACTACTGTTTGCTTGTTTGTTCATCTTTATTTATTCATTAAGTCAATTAAGAATTGCTTTCTTATTTACAATGATGGCATTGCAGGAGAAGAACATAATGCTGCATACATACATTCAAATCAAATAACATGGGAAAAAAATAATATAATGATTCAAGAATGTTTAGATACTTTGACTGAAAAATAAGACAAAAGTAGTAAGTAAAAATATCATGTTTTGCAGTGTAGCTGCCCTCTGAACTCCCACAGTATGTCAAATGAAAAAAAGACACTCATCAGTGAGAAATTCCTGGATCACAATGTGAATGCAAAACTTATTTCAGCAGCGCTTCCCCTTAGAAACATCTCAGTAATTTCACCTGTTGTAAGGACAGTCCCACAATGCATGATAAAAAAAACTTTTACTTTCTACTTCAGCTTCATGATCTTGTCATAATGCATTAGATGACCTACTCGCATGATCTATAACTGTCTGTCCTGCTATGCCATAGTTTAAGCAACATTTTGCATGATTGAAAACAACTTCTTCTTTATTATGTGGAAAATTATCGTTGCCAAACTGACAGCTGGAACTGCCACAACTGTCGCTGGGTGAGAATAAAGCCAAAAACAGATATCTAAAGAATGAACTAGCAATATCGTCAAAATTATTGATTTTTCTTTTATGCCAAAAATCATTAGTATATATATATATAGGCCTATATACTTTAAAAACTAATAAAAACAGACAACATACTAAAACTTTAAAATAAAAACAGCAAATATAAAAACAAAAACTAATTGAAAATAACTACATTGGTAAACAAGAACTAACAATAAACAATATTTCAATATTTCTAAATCATTTATTAATCTTGATGAATTCTTAAAATCAAAAGTTTTGTCTGTTAACATGAACTGTGAAGTAATAATAACAATGAACAATTGTATTCTTATTAACTAACCTTGACAGCGATTAATAAATGCTGTTAAATTATTGCTCATACGAAGAAATAAAAAGATAATTTTCTGCCAGGACATTATACAATACATTCATTTATGGACATTTCTGTTAACCCTAAAACACAATGCAATGCAGTGCAAAATATACTCAAAATACAGGTAAGACACTTGTAAAAATCAATACAGAAAATTCCTTTATATTGATACAGTACATTGTTCCCTATTTTTTTTTTTTTAAATGTTACAGTGTAGTTAGTTAATGTTAACTAATGCATTATAATGTTAACAAATGAGACCTTATTGTAAAGTGCTCTATGCAGGAAGAGGATGAAAGTGTGGTTTGAATGCATTGCGATGCTCAATCAGGAAGATCACATTTCTGTCATTGAAGTCATCAGTCATTGATGCCAAGATCAAAATGAAAAGTCACTTCAACCAGGAAAACCAAGTTTCAAGAAGCATTCTCAACATAATGGTGCAGCTGCTGTAAGAATTTCAGGCATGTCAGACAACAAAAACACAAAAGGAGGAAGACTAAACAAAAAAACAACAACAGGGTTATATAAGCTTATTATCACTTCTTATGTAGCAAGAGGAATTCCAGAGAAGTCATCTGATGTTTCTAGGTTGGTGCGTGTGGGGTTTCTTCCTGGAGACTCAACAACACCCCATAGTAGCCCATATCTTTGTGAAATCATTTTTAGATGCATAAATAGATTTTTTAAAGATAAGCAAAATATAAAGATTTTGATGCAAGTATATCTAATTCCAAATAGAAATTGCACTGTTTGGCATTTATATTCCCCAGTATCAACAATTTAGAGAGCAGAAATAAAATGCAGTAAAGTTGTATTACTAAATCAAAGTGGCTTTGCTTGAGATGCTGGTGGTGTTTACAAAATACTATTAAAGTAGGTTGTTTTGCATCTGAAGTAGTAAAGTCATTGTGCCCCAAAATAAGCACAAACAGACAAACATTCTAAATAGATTTGTAATGAAAATGATTTATTTACTGTTTATTTAAATGTCACCGATTAAGTCTTCGGTGTATTACTGTAGAACCAATAAAGCAGCGTTTTACAGTTCTCCCCACATTTTAAATTGTGAATATCCTTTATATTTTTATTAAACATTTCAAATTTCTTGTTGATTGGGTCCAGCATCCCAACAGTTTGGAGAATGAATGGATTAATGCAGTACTGATATTGACTTTATTTTCCATATCATATTATACATGATTTTTTGTTTATTTAATTATTTAGTTAATTTTAATTCATTTTTCGGTCAGCCTGACAGCTGAGGAATACTGCCTCTAATCAGCGTAGTCAAGATACTGGCATGAGTGGCAAATGAACAGTCAAGCACACAAGCACACACAGCCTCATTTAGATGTTTCGCTTGGTTAGGCTACTGTAAACACACGAAATAAAGCGTGAAGCATTCATCTAATCTGTCTGTGCTGTATAGCCTACATACATCTCAGACTGGAGATTATTCTAGAGCAGCCTAGAGCTAAATTTGAAACAATTGTGGAATTGTAATAGAGGTAGCACTGACCATGGTGTTCAGAACAATTTATATATATATCCAATAAAGCAGCGTTTTACAGTTCTCCCCACATTTTAAATTGTGAATATCCTTTATATTTTTATTAAACATTTCAAATTTCTTGTTGATTGGGTCCAGCATCCCAACAGTTTGGAGAATGAATGGATTAATGCAGTACTGATATTGACTTTATTTTCCATATCATATTATACATGATTTTTTGTTTATTTAATTATTTAGTTAATTTTAATTCATTTTCAATTCATTCAAATATTGCTTTGGTTACAGATTCACGGAAAAACGTATTTGTTCATTAAAAGCTTTATTGTTTTCCCTGAGATGGCATCCTATAAGCATATCTGTATTGATATCTACTTTGCTTTCATTTCATATTATATATTATTAATTATTCGTAGTTATATATTTATTTATTTTTGCTCATTTATTAATTAATTCTTTCATATATTGTTTTCATTAGAGATCCACAGCAAAAACTAGTTTGTTTATTAAAAGCTTTATTGTTTTCCCTGATTTGGACACACAAGTGCTAAATCGGATCATTAAAGACAATGATGATACTGATAACAAGAACATGAAAGACAATCACAGAAAGCATGTCAATCACAAACATTATGCAACTCCTTTTTTTGTTTAAATGATTGGTTAAACAGGATTATACTGACAAAAGAATTTAGCATAATTAAAAACAATTTTTTTCGAATCGGTGAGTCCCTTTATCAATCACAAAACAGAGAACATCATGTTCAACTCATCTATGTGGAGCTGATGTAAAAACATTTTTATTGCTTAAAAATTCGGGACGCTTGAGGTTCTCCTGAACTCCGTACGGTTATTCTTAATCTTTAGGAGGAGTTTTTGGGAGCCGCTTAAAGTCTGTTGTTGCTGGTTTTCCTCATTCATCTCTGCTGAAGATCCAGAGGACACTGAGAATTCGTATAAGGAATCTGCAGACACATTGACCTCATGGGGCAGATTTTCTATGGACAGGTGAAACGAGGAAATAGTGCCTGTTGGGTAGGGATTTGAGTACACCCTATTTATTATGTTCTCGATTCCAGAGTCAATAGTAAATACGCTTTCTGGCCGGTCGGGTCCAGCTCTACGCCGATCCACTCGTGAACTTTTGCGGAAGCGTCTGGTGAACTCCCGAATGCCGCTTTTGAAAAACTCTTTGGTGTTGTTCTCGCTTTTCAATAGGATGATGTAACATTTAGGCATGAAGTGGCAGATGAGTATCCCGTATGCAGAGAAGAGCATCACCACCATCTGAACGGTAGATTTGTACTTGATCAATTGAACCATGTTCGCATAGATGGGGCAAAACACCACCCAACTGATAATGTAGATGAGCATGCTGATGCTGATGCACTTCTCTTCATTATAGCACTTGGGAAGCTTCCGTCCCAGGAAGGCGAATCCAAAGCACACCAGAGCCAGAAGGCTAATGAAGGCCAGCATGAGTCCGAAGAATAGCAGGCTCCCCTCATCGCACTGGATGATAAGTTCAGACCTGATCACTGAGTCCTCTAAAACCTTGGGTGGTTTCAACCACAACCAGAGACCACAGATGATGCCCTGGATAAGCACACAAATGCCAATGATCCAGTAGGGCAGGAAGAGTTTCTTCATGACCCGTTTGGCAGCGGATTCATTCTGGAAGGCCAGCAGAACCTTAAAGTACCTGACCAGGATGCAGGAGATGCACAGGGTGAAGCTCAGGCCAAAAAGCACCTGTCCGATTTGACACTGTATGCATGTGGGTTTCCCACCAAACAAGATGGCGCTGGTGAACGTCCCGAGCAGGGACAGCAAGATCAGGATGGAGATGGGACCCCCTGCTGCGAGGACCACCGGGGTATCATGTCTGACTAAGAACACCAGCATCACAATCAGTGTCAAAAGGAGGCCAAGACAAGCAAACACCAGAATAGTGATACAGTATTCATGTTTCCAGGACAGGAAAATTGGCGTTTGGGGAGAGCAAATGGTGGCGTTCTCTTTAGACCAGAAATTCTTTGGACAATCTATACATTCACCTGCATCTGGAGAAGAATGAAAAGTTACATCTATTAAACATCCTTTCATTTCATCTCATCATGCTGCTGAATCTGAAATTGAGTTCATGAAATGAGTCCACTCTAAAATTCTAATTCCTCTACTCCCCCTCATTGTCATTCAAAACCAAAAAGTTTCAGTTCCCATTGACTTCTACTGTATTTTTTGGCCGCATAATGTAAATCGATGGGAACCGAAAGTGTTTGGTGACGAACAATCTTAAAATATCTTCTTTTGTGTTCCGAAGAAGAAATAAATACATACAGGTTTGAAATGACATGAGCAGAATTAGTTTTTATATTCCATATAGCAATGAGAAGAAGCAACTGCCCGAGTCACAATTGCATTTTACAGTTTAGATGTGTGTTTTTGTATGTTTATGTAAAAGGTTGTGTATCGAAATGAGCGAACTTCATGTTTTTGGCAGGTCTGAAGCTGGTGTAAACAGTGTTGGGGAAAGTTACTTTTAAAAGTAATCCATTACGATATTGTGTTACTCCATAAAAAAGTAACTTATTGCGTTATTTAGTTATTTGTTATGGAGAGTAAAGCATTATGTTACTTTTGCGTTACTTTTTGTTACTTGAGCTGGGCTTGCTTATTTATTTTTAATAATAAAAACCTAAAAGTTATCATTTTGGCAACTGTAAAGGCCCTTTCACACCAAAAGTGAAATTAATAAGCCTCAGCCTAAAGAAAATGAATCTGTACCTCACTCCAAATTTCTCTCAATACGGGGACAGGAGAGGTTAAAGTGAATAAATGGGAAAACAAAGTAACTTGCGTTATTTTTTGGAAAAAAGTAAAAGATATTTTCTTGTCAATTTTAAATGAATGCGTTACTTTACCAGTTACTTGAAAAAAGTAATCTGATTATGTAACTTGCGTTACTTGTAATGTTTTACCACCAACACTGGGTGTAAGTGACTTTAATTTCATGAATTTATACCTGTTTTGTTTGAAAATGTGTTTACTGGACACTTCGCACACTCGTAGCAACAGATGGGCTTGTCTTCAGAAAAAACCCGTCTAAATCCAGGGGGACAACTTGGAGAGCACCGCGAAATCACACGACTCTGGGGTAAAACAAAACAAAACAATTTTTTGGACAAATACCATATACATTTAAATTTCAATATATAGTTTATTTCTATAATATTTCAGATTATACAACATATTTGCAAAATGAATTAGTCCTAAAGGGATAATTCACCCAAAAATAAAAATTCAGTCATCATTTACTCACCCTCGTGTCATTCCAAACCTGTCTGACTTCCTTTCTTGTGTGTTTTTGGCAGTATAATGAAAGTCAATTAGAATCTTGATATTGTTTTGGAATTTTAATTATATGGACAAAACTTTTCTCAAAATATCTTCTTTTGTGTTCCACAGATGAAAGGACGTCATTCAGGTTTGGAACGACATGAGAGTGTGTAGATAATGAAAGAGTGTTTATTTCTGGGTGAACTATCCCTTTAATGAACCAGATTTCATACTTTCTTTCCTCACAGCACTTCATTCTTTATTATGTGGCGTCAGAAACTCACAGTCACATTTTCCAGCCGATTTCTTTGTTTGTCATTCAGGAAAAACATGCTTTCATTCTTGATCATGTAGCGTGCCACAGTCCTCAGTCCCACATTTTTGATACCTTCAGCGTTATTTTCAAGTGCCGCTTCCCAAATGTTGATATCATAACCGGTATCCAAATCTCCATAATTGCTGAATGAATATTTCTCATTATCCATAGTAAACATGGTGTTTGCCAAGGCATCATTTAGCTGGAAAAGGTGACGATGTATTTAAGCTTTTGAATATTTATTATTTGGTTTAACATAGAATAACAGAGAAAATTACTTGCCTCAGAGCGTTGAATATCAAAGCCTCCACGGCAGGTTTTTCGAGAACAGATGTCTTTAACAGCATTAGCGACAAACCTCACAGTCAACCATACGCTAAACACTGCACTAGGACATACAGCTTTCTTCAGGGTTTCTCTTATTTCTTTGGTGGTTCTGCTTTTGTTCAACTCTCCTTTGATGAAGTGCTGCAGGATGGTGTTGTTTGATTGTGAATCAGGATTTAGATCTAGATTATCTAGGTACCTTATGAAGTGAGAGCTGTCCCCTGAAAATGGGATTATTCCAAGAATTTTCCCAACTTCATTCAGGGGACGATTGTTTAGCACATCGAGTGATGTGGACCAACTATCACCGGCGATCCAGAAACGTCCAGATGCGTTGGGAGTGAGTTTCTCGAACAAACAAGCCATGTGGTGAGATTTGGCAAAAGACACAATGACTTGAACTTTTGAGGTGCTCTCGATTTTTTTGACAGTTTCATTGAGTTTGGAATCTAAGCTTTCATCGTTGAGAAAATCAGGAAGCACAACTCGGTATGACGCATATATATTTTTGGAATTGGCATGCGCCTCAAGTTGGTCTGCAGCGTAGCGCCCGTAATCTCCGTCAGTGGCTATTATGCCAATCCAGGTCCAGTTGTGGTACCTCAAAATTTCAGTGATTGCTTTAGCCTGGTGGTCATCTTTCGGGACAGTCCTCCTGAATGTCGGAAAACGGGTTTTGTCGCTCAAAACCCCAGCTGTTGAACCATAACTGATCTGAGATAATAGTAATAAGAAGAGCATTATTGAAAAATTCTGACATTGTGTAACATAATAGACATTGGTTACTCAACCATGCCCATTGCTTTTGAAGGGTGAGTAATTTATTTTGGAATAAATTACTTCAAATGCAGTTTAGCATAGTTCATCATTGCACAGAAATCAGAAAGCACAAGCTTAGAAGACAAGATGATTGTAAAATGACAAAATGAAGGAAGTTCAATGTCATAAAGAAGTCCGATCGAACACTTTCAATTTTAAGGAATGGTACGAATGAAACTCCATAGCCACTCTAATATTGAAATACATTTGTCATAACAGCACCTTTTTACCAAAGTTAAAGGACCAAATGGCAGATAGCAACAGCGGCGCAATTTGATAGGCTACTTGGGCTGTTAGTCATTTATCTGTCAATTAAACAAAACATACCTGTGGCATATAACCCATGGTGAGATACCTCGCCACTGCGATGGAAACCTCGGAATGGTACTCTCCTATAACAGCCTGAAACAATGAATTAGTGCGGCCAGAATTTTTATCCATGAAGATATCGGTGTGTTGCAGTGCAGTGGTCACATCAGAGCATGTGTCCATGATCTTGTAGCCAAATGTGAGATCTTTCAGCATGGGGGGCTTGTTGATGGCCTCCACCGCTTCAATCATCGCCAGAGATTGGATCAACCTGGATACGGTGAACCTGTCAGAGGGAACAGGAAGGAGGCTTAACTCAGTCATTTAGAACAAGAGTTTTTATAGCAGTTGATCTCATCCTTTTTGAACAGTCTGAAGAAAGAACAATCAATGAACAATCATTATTCAATATAATATGCTGATTTAATGCTCAATTATTGTCATTTATAATTGGAGCTCAATTATTAATGATTCTTATAATCATCAATGATGAAAACAGTTTTTGATGCTTAACATTTTGGTGGAAACAATCAATTTAATGCATCCTTGTTGAATGAAAGTATTAATTTTTTATTTATTTTTTAAATCTTACTTAAACCAAAATTATTGAATGGTAGTGCTCCACGGTTTCAATGTTAAGCAGAAAACGGTTTTCAACATTGATAATAATAATAAAAAAATTAATGTTTTTTAAGCAGCAAATCAGTATATTAGAATGATTTCTGAAAGATCATGTGACAATAATGTGTAATAATATTTCACAATATTACTGTAAAATAAATGCAAAAAATAAATGCAGCCTTGGTGAGCATAAGAGATGCATGTCAAAAACATTAAAACATTCACATTCATTCTTCCAGATGTCTGAGATATATATGCATAAAAATTATGCAAGTTTGAATTTCTCAGTCTTTGACATTATTAATGTAAGCTGTATGATGTGTTGTGATGCATGGACTCACTTTTCACACACGTGTTGAATAGGACTGCTTGTCGTGTTGGTGATCTTGAAGCTTTGGTGAACTGGAAAGAGTCCTCCAAGCATGAAGTCCCCTAACTGCATGGCTTCCAGTGAGCCTGAAGCAGGTCTACAGTCACGACCCCCCAAACTTCCCAAGATGGCAAAAAGCCCAAACCAAATCTTAGTGTAATGCATCTTCATTTCATCTGTGTGTCTCACCCTTCTCTATTTTTCTGGTAACCTTTTCAGCCTCTTCAACGAGAGTCCTCAGCTCTCTCTCTCTCTCTCTCTCTCTCTCTGTCCTCACCTGTCCTCTCAGCAGACTGGGCTGAGTTTGAGGATGTTGCTAAACTATATCTGTCTCCGTTTCCTCCTCTGTTACTGTAAAAACAGATGTCTTGTCACCTTCCTGCTCACACCTCTAGACTTCAAAAAAGTTCAGATCAAGAGGAAACATTCCATACAGGAGGAAACACCACATTCAGAAAGATTTTCATTAGCACCAAAAATGCACAAGTGAATCCAAGAATGCAAAAACCTCCCAATTGTATAACAACTCGTATTTGCATAAACTAATAATGATGCATAGGTTACGCATGAAATAATCTACTGCATGAGTTGTTTGGTGCCTGCCTGTACAGCTCTACTGTTTACTGGTTATGCTGTAGTATTAACTTTTTTAACTAAATTGATTTGATGTTTAAAAAAAACAAAGCCTCATGCACACAATGACTCCATGGCCTCAAACTGTAATCACATCAACTGACTCACTCCATCCAAAGACACAGTGTCACAATACACACACACCAGTCAAAATAAACAAACACAGCTTGTGTTTAGAACCTGCTATTTGCATTTAATTTGACCATTTCATTTAAACAATCTCTTTAGTTTTATTTCAGAGTGCATATTTAATGTAAGAACAGGTCAGACAGGGTTACTAAACGGAAGGAGGAAGGTGAGTTCAGAGGGTTTTCTCTAACCTATTTAATAAAGGAAATATTTTGCACAACTATAAAGAGGTACATCGGTGTTGCATAGAAGTTGAATAATCGTCATCATTATTATGTGCTGCTATGATCTGAGTGCATTGCATTTAGGAAAATCACGAGTGATTTAATGCTATGTGTTGTTATGCATTATACCGCAAGGAAAGCCATGGGTTTGATTCCCAGGGAATGCATGAACTGATCGAATGTAAAAGTCGCTTTAAAAGCATCTGCAAATTGCATAAATAAATGTATTTCGGTAAATGCGCAAACGCTCAAAAGGTAAATTGGGACACTTTTTCAAATTGGATTGGATAAAATTTAGTTTTGCTATGCCTGCTAGCCTATTATGTCTGGTAAATGGTGGACAGTAGCTACCAACCAGTCATAAATATTTCTTACTGTGCATTAAAATGTAGGCCTAATGGAAATGACATTTAAAACAAAATAAACAAATAAATAAATAAAGCGGCTCCTTAATCGACTACCTAATTTTATAGCTAATTTTAGCTACTTTATGTATCCTAAATACACAATTAAACATGTTCAATCATTTTGCATAATTTGGCAAAATTATAGCTTAATCGCAAATGGCGGACAGTAACATCACATCTCACGCCTTAGTGAAGTACACTAACTTTTGATCAACTTTATCTGGGGTTCAGTTGTTTAAAGTAATGAGAAAGACCGCAACGTATAGCCTACAATTGATTTCTGTGATGTTTGTGGTGGAAATGACTCTGACTGAGGGCCAGTCGTGAGTCTGGCCCTTAGTGTCGACGCTGTTACTATTACACACCACTAGAGGGGGGCGCTGCATTTGTATTTTTCAGCTCCTATCATTCAAAACTATGTGAAGCGCTAGTTATTTATAATTTCTCAGTAACTTAGATTGCTGGAAGTCTTCTTATGTCCTGTATATTTGGTATTTTTGCTGTTTAATTATTCTTATTATCATTAGGCATACCTGCTTGTGTAAACTATACAGTATCAGTTTGTTACTTGCATTATTTGAGTTTGAAATTATGAGTTATAAGAGCCATCTCATTCAGCATTATCCTTCAATATGTGTATTTCAGACAGTGCTTTTAATGTTTATAACGCGTGACATTTTGACAGCTGCTCAGTCAGAAACCTCCCCTCCCCTTCTGAATAACCTTGTCAGATTACCATACAATTATCATATCATTAACATCTCATTATCATACTGGAGCCAATGGTAGTGGGTTTAAATTCTTTATGTTTGTCATTTCGTTCTACACTATTCAATTCTCTAGCTTGTGTGACCCATAATTGGACTGTTTTGTGTATTTATATTTTAAAAGGCATGGCTTTATAATGGACGTCTGGCCTGTTTAATGCCGCTGAATGAAGTAGTTTAATAATATCAGGGTCTATGTGTCGCGTAAGGGCCATCCAAGTGTTTTAAACACCTGCAGGTGGTCTGATATCTCTCCAGTAGTATAATTACTTCTCGCCGTCCACAGAAATCACAGAAATCCCACTGTGACGGACCTAATCTGCAACTCTTTCCACAAAGTGCTTCTACCTGTCTATATTCATTGGAAAACAGCAAACATGAGTGTCAACCGCCCCGTATCTTCCTCTCAAAGTGACCTGGGATTCATCTCATACATTAGATCATCCAAAGGGTTCCATTTTTCTCAATTAGCGTTTCTGCTCATTAACGAGCTGATGGGCCCCTCGTTCCGACACCTCGCTAATGCACTAACACACTAACACCTCACACATCACATTCGGATGCAAAGACTGAAACAGAATCTAATCAACAAGGACAGCAACACACACACACTTAAGCGCTCCGCAGCAATTAGATGATCATTTGCTCAAGTCTGTGTGTATGTGTAAGTGTAATTACATAATGGAAGGTTGAATAAAGCTGAATTTCATATGGTGAAATTCTTTGGACCCTGTTGAGGTGAGACCGACAGAATGACGCCTCGCATGTTTGGCTGTTTATGAATTATAGCCGCGCAATTTGAATGTGATGCTATTGCTGTACTGAACGTGACCTCATGAACGTTAAGCCTGCTTTTTTCCAGCTGTTCAGCTCTAGATGATGGCAGCTGTTATGTTTCCAACTGATCAGTTATTCAGCAAAGTAAAGGTGTCAACGCAACTTACAGGGAATGTTCTCAGAATGTTCTGGCAAGGTTCTCTGAATATTCTAGTAACATTAATAGAATGTTCATTCAAAATTACCTGGTCTTCAGGTAAGGTTCTTAAAACGCTGCATCATATTTATATTTATTACATTCAAATGTAACTTTCCCATAACGTTTGCAAAATGATCAAATGAAACATTCCCTAAACGTTTTGTCTAATGTTTTTAAAACAGGATGTTTTTCAATCTTCTTGGAAAGCTCAGGAATATTGTTTTTGTAACTTAATGGGAACATTAGCAAACTGTTCCTAGAACATATTTTTGTTAGCTGGGATGCAAAGCGGACACATTAACAAGGACACTAAAGGCCGCACAGCTCATACCAGCAGGCCTGTAACATTAACCGACAGATGCTTTTTCACTATCATCATTTTTTTTAAATATTAGAATAATGTGAATTTGATTGCTTTTGAATCCACTTTCTTCTGACATGCTGTTTCTTGGGAACAATATTGACTGTAGAAAATGCTTTATGTCGTTGGTGACATGTGACTGCAGACAGTATATTACATTTGAGATTCAGGGAATTATTGTTTTCAAACAGTTTCCCAATCAATCCCCCATCTGCCACAGGTTGCTAGTATAGGCTAAAGCAATGTTTTTTGATAAAGTCGCTATCAAATTTAAAGTATTTGAAATAAACATTTCATTTAAAACTATCAAAATAGAATATAATATTAAATATCAATAAATATATTCAATTAAAATATATTTTAAAATGAAAGCCACCATATTAATTTTTTTTAATAAATTTAATATGGTAAATGGATTTTTAAATACATATTTAAAATATTTAAAGTCACCATGAAATTGAAATTGACAATTCCCATTATTTCTCATTCGAGAAGTTGTTTCACTTGGATATAAGTCACAACAGAATGCAGTGATGCCGTATTTTTGTAGGCCATTCTGGAAGTTAGCATCACCCTGGTTTCCAATAGGATTTTTCCATTGCAGGACATAAGCTCTGTGAACATTTGTGCATCATGATCATTTTCACAAATGAACAAATTTTTATGAATTTTGAAGCCTAAATAAAAGGCTCTAAAGAATCTTCACCGTGGTCACATGACTTCAACATCACTAAATTTCCGACAATTAGGCCTACTTCAGTCTTTATTAAAAAACATTTGAAATAGTTTGCAAGAGTGCAATTAGAAACACAACGAGGCTGTAAAAGTAGACTTGTGAGTAGATGAGTTTAACTGTTCAACAGCATCTGTCATCTCATTTAGCCACTTGTTAGCAACCACCTTTTTCAAGACAAGTAAAAGCTTTAAAAAAAAAAAACACGAGGTGATGCTAATGTATTTTATGTGTAGAATAAAACATCTAAATATTTTGAGCTTGTGTTAACCACAGACCTTATTTTAGGCATTTAACCAACACCCCATTCAAAAAAAACAAAAAACAAAAAAAACATTGATTTCAGGACAATGGAACCGGAAGTCCTAAAATGCTAACTACAAAAATACGTGGTAACACTTTATTGAAAGGACCTAATTTTAGCTGTTAATTAGTTGCTTATTAGCATGCATATTCCTAGCATATTGGCTGTTTATTAGTACTTATAAAGCACATATTAATGCCTTATTCTGCATGACTGTATTTTAGATCCCTTAATCCACCCCAAACCTAAACTTAACAACTATCTTACTAACTATTAATAAGCAGCAAATTAGCAGCAAAAATACGTCATTCCTGCAACATTCGATAGGAGAGAAGGCTACTGAAATGGTTCTCATTACTAAGTAAATTAAGTAAATAATTTAGCTCATTTACATTTAGCTGACCAAAAACGGCAGGGAATCTCTAACGAAAGTAATTTTAATGGGCATGGCAGGTAGAAATATCTTGTTATGGTGCACATTTGATTTTTTAAAGTGTATGTTATATGTCCCAAAACTAATAAATGACAAATAGTATATGTAAATAGTTTTATATGCGCCATGCCCATCATATTATATCACACCATGATGTATTCTGCTGAAAATGATGAATGGCATTTTGCTGAATCTCTCTTTTGT